GGCCAGCGAGATCAGGAAGCTCCGTGCTTGCCTCCGCTGCAAGTTCCTCAAGAAGACCTGCGACAAGGGCGAGCCTTGCGCTGGCTGCCAGCCTTCTCACGCCCGTCTGTGGCAGGTTCCTTGCACTCGCATTGACATCAAGGACATTGGCTACTTCATGAAGGACTGGAAGGCAGACTATGAGCGTCACCTTGGCCGCGGCGTCTCCGTCTACAACGTCAAGGGCTTTGCCCAGAGCGAGACTCTGATGTGGATCACTCACGGCTACGGCTTTGCCCTCCCTGTCTACGTCCGCGAGGTCTTCGTTGCCGATGACAGCTGCTTCCAGGCCGACTGGGTTGAGTCTTGCCTCACCGACCAGGAGCCCATTGACTTTGAGCTCCGCACTGGCAACCTTGACGTCGGTGCCAAGGGCGTTTCCGTCGAGGCTCTGTCCGACTACCTCGACAAGCACATTGACGGCGGCTTCGAGGACTTCATTGAGGACCACTTTGAGGGTACCCCCTTCATCACTGAGATCCTCAAGACCGCTCACCGCTACTACGTCAAGGAGCGCATGCCTGTCATCCGCAAGGCTCTCAAGCTTGTCCTGGCTTACAACCTCACTCTTCACATCACCCTTGTTGAGAACCAGGGCGAGGAGGTCAGCCTTGACGGCCAGATCGACGACGAGGACTCCAAGTACTACGGCCGGACCGTCGCCCCCGTCATGATCAACTTCCAGATCAAGTGCGCCATGGCCGACATGTGGCGTGAGCTGCAGAAGGAGATTCTTGAGGAGCTCTCTGCCCTGTACTCCAGTGTCTACAGCGGTGAGCGTCTCAAGAACTGGCCCACCATCTTCATGCTGGCTTCCATCCTGCTTGCCGTCTGGGAGGAGATGCAGTTCGACTGCCACTACCGCGTGCCCGACCCCGCTGCCGTCAACAAGTTCTGCAGCGACATGGAGACCACTCCCGTCGGTGTCATTGTCGGTCTGTTCCACGCCATCTCCCAGAAGCTGCCCGCCTTCATGGACTGGGACACCTCGAAGCACGGCCACCTGCTGAACAACAACGTCGCCGTCTGCGAGGCCATGACTGAGGTCCGCGAGCACGTCATCAAGCATGGTAAGTCTCATCGCACTAGGCATCCAAAAGCGACGATACTAACCCCGCCACAGAGTCGTACTTGCGCACTCGCCCCGAGGCCACCTTTGACCGCAACGACTTTGACTGCTTGTCCAACAAGTTCCTGTCGAAGTTGGTCATCCGCGCCAACTAACCATCTTGTGTCATAATTTGCGATATATGTTTCTCGGAAGGTCATTTAAAAGCCCCCGGGTGGGCATTGTTTCCTATGTTACGGGTCACAGCGACGGCGTTGAACGAGACACTACACATGATCTCCCTCAGACACACACACATCCTCTGACTTCACTTCTTTTTGCGGCTGGTCACCTCTCAACACGATTCGTCTCGATGTGTTTACGACCCTTTTTCATGATTCATTACGAATGTATGACTCGAAGCTTTCAAAGTGGTGGAGAGGTCTGGAGTTGCGCGTTGGCTAGACGGCAGCGCTGCAGCGAAGAGAGACGCGACAAATGCGCTATAAAGAATTGTTGTTTACCAAATTTAACGGAGACGATTATGCCGGCACGACAGGCACGGAAATGAAACAGCATAGCATAGACGATTACGATATGCATTTTTGGAATTACTAGGTGGCAGAAGGGACCGTTTTGGATGAAAACGCCTTCTAGAATTTTTGGAGAGGCTCTGTTTGGCCGAATAGGTTCGGCATTTTTATGTCCGTTGTAGTTAGGCCAAAACTCGATATATCGAAGAGATTGTTTCTTGCCCTTCACGTCAGTTACACCTCGAAGCAACCAACGTGAGTTCCCCTGTGTCTCTTGGCCTGTTTGTCGACCACCCCGTGCGGACACGTGTCTAGATGCGCCTACTTGGTCATGCCATGTCGACGCATCGGTGACAGTCGGCGAGACAACAAGAGACGAGCTTTGCCTCGGCGGTCTCTCCAGTGCGAAGAGCAGGACGGTAGCACCCAACATCAGCGTCACCGAACAATCATGTCAGGACGGCTACGTCTTGCCAATCTGCTCGGTCCGAGGAGCGAGGGTTGGCAGGTTGCATTCGGACATGGACGGGACGGGCAGACGATACGCCCTTTATACTCTACGAAGTTGACCGCAATCACCCCCTTCACGATGCGTTGAAGCGGTGAGCCAACCCGCAATTACGGGCCAGGTCGCCAGGCCCATGTCCTCAAAGACAGGTTTGGTGGTCCCAGGAACTGAGAGGCCCCAATCGCGGGAGTAGCGGAGAGCAGAAAGCGCTGTAGAGAGATGCCTGAAATTGTTTGTAGTTGTCAACGCTCTTCTGGTCGCCGCAAAGGTTCCATCGAACCACTGAGCATATTGCGGTTCACGATGGTCGTGCAACTTGTCTCGCAGTGTCTGGCACGTGGCCTGATTCGGCGGGACCCTTGCAGTCGAGACAGCCCTCAAGCAACGCCGTGGATTTAAGGACAACAATAGGCTGTCCGAAGGCCAGATTGGCTCCTGAATTCTCGTTCAATTGGCCTCGCCGTTGATCACAGAGGTCCTGATCTGAAGTTGCTCCGACTGCAGTGGCGACTCTTCCAGACAGTGCACTGGCTGATGCGATTCAGACAATTGCTGCTGCCTGAGAGCTCCCATTCCGGTCGCGGAACTGTTTCCAGGGACGATTACGGGACATCCGCCCGTTGAACAATTTTTTTGACTTCTGTCGACATTGAGTTGGAACTATTGACAGACCTTCATGGCCTGCTGACCGCAAGAACGCGAACTCCTGCGGGGTTAAGTCGGGGAGGGGGATCCTTATCGGAGCAAATCAGAGACAGCGCTGGCGGTTTGGCACGTTGAGGCCAAACCAATAAGACGGTGGCTGGCTGCGAGGAGTGCAGTTGGTGGTGTTCGTCTGCTGCAGACATGAACTGCCACGTTCGCACTTTGGTGCCACGATGTCGGTCGGCTGGCCAATACGGGCTCTGGCGCCGACCGTGAGTCGTCGTGACGAGGGCCGAGCGTCGCAATGGCGATGTCGCAATCCCTCTGTCTCGTTTCTTCGACAAACGAATGCGTCACTAGGAAGCATTCCCGACTGGATTTGATCGGTCTCGTCCTGCCATGATCCATGTGGCTTGTTCCCGAAACAGTGAAAGAGACATTCCTTCACACACCCATTCCTCCCGGGTAATTTATTCAAAGGACATTGTTGGGTAGGCAGGCCGAAGAGGTTGCAGTTCGTCGGTCGGTCTCGAACGATGGTAAAATCAGGGTCGGGCGCTCAAGAGGTTGGGAGGAATGACGTCTGGCGTCATCATGCGCTAAAATGCGGGGGTCCAGCGATAGCGATACCGGGGTGAGCTGTCGGGGTCTGGTGTGACTGTTCGGCGACGGCGGGCGCGCTGAGACGTGGAAATGAAGCCATCTTGAGTGAGGCCAACGCAGGCAAGCGGACAACCGATGGAGTCGTTGGAAGAAGTAAGCGATGAGGTCCAGAGAAGCTTTAGAGGCATCGGGGGATTGGCAGGCGATTCTTCGGACGAGGCAAAGATTGACTGGAGGCTCTCGAGTGGCGATTAAGGTGGTGGTAGTGACACATTGCACGCGCTTTGCCAGTCAGGCGTCGCCGTGTTTCTGAAAATGGCCGGCATCCGGGTGGCGGGTGGGGCGCCACTGCATTCACATTGTCAGTGCCAGGGTGATAGTGTGTAGCCTTGAGTCGGTCTGGCGTCTGTGAGTTGGTTGAGTTTGCAGCCATCCATCGTCAAGGTGGTGTTCCCGGTGCGGTTGGGTGAGACACACACACATTCCTAGCCCAGCGTCGAGAACGAAGACAGCCAGTTGTTTAACCGCCCGCCTTCTCGGTTTGGCAGGTTGGTTCGTCCGTGGGGGAAAACATTCTAGCCTCCAGCTGTGGTGATCTTCGCCGTACACCATGAATGCTCTCGGCGACGCTTCTCAGCCATGATTGAGTCGTCTGCGATGACGACTGATGAAGACAGTCCGAAGGTGGACGGCAGAGGCGGAGCAGGTGCAGGGGTTGCGAGTTGCGATGGGGCGGCGACCCATCAGTGACAGACTGCCTAACGCTTAAGGCTCCGGGGAAACAGTAAACAGTGGCTCCCTCCTGCGCGAGACGTTCTTGCCGACGGGCCCCCGAGCTCGCTCCCGCCTCCCAGTTCTTTGAAGATTCGCATCTCGCAACTGCCATTGATCACAAACAACCGATCTTTGATCTTTCGGCAGCCACTGGTCGAATGGCGTTTCGGGGCTACGGCGGCATGAGCGAGGCCATCTGATCAAAGAAGCGGCGACGGCGAGTGGCCAACAGTCGTGGTCAGTGGCCAGCGGCAGGCCCAGCGCTGCGAACTGAGACATCAGGCACAGCAGAACTGGGTTCCAGCCTTTCCAGGTCGGCGGGAGAAGTGGCCCGATAGCGCAGATAAGAAGTGGCGAGTACATGAAATCGTCACCAGCTCATGCCTTTCTGGAAGGTACTGGCTACCTCCCGCACCCTCCTGGTCCACTTGGTTCTGGAGGGTTCCGGCTTGCTCCTGCCTACCTTAGCGCTCTTGCTTGCTGATGAATCATTCGCCATTTCTCCAGACAAGGACACAAGGCATATCCGTATTGCCTCAGTGCACCGCATAACCGTCAGGTAAGGACGCAGTAAGGTACCTTCCAGGTCGGTTCTCCACCTGCGCCTGCGCCCCCCACTGCCTTCCCTTACCTTCCGTTCGCCGCGGTCAGTCACCACCCGCCTCCTGCCTGCCCAGTATCTCTTCTGCCTCCTACTATTTAACTACTTCAACCTCTCCTCCACCACTCTTCTTCCTCTTCTCACATCCATCCATCTTCCATCCCACACAAGCACTCGTCCATCAGCGACAACTTCTACATCCACCATCAGTTACATCAATCACATCGCAACCGCTCAGAAGTCGCCATCATGCAGATCTTCGTTAAGACCCTCACTGGCAAGACCATTACCCTTGAGGTTGAGTCTTCTGATACCATCGACAATGTGAAGTCCAAGATTCAGGATAAGGAGGGTATCCCCCCCGATCAGCAGCGTCTTATCTTCGCTGGTAAGCAGCTTGAAGACGGTCGCACCCTCTCCGACTACAACATCCAGAAGGAGTCGACTTTGCACTTGGTTCTCCGCCTCCGCGGTGGTATGCAGATCTGTAAGTCACCGAATTTCTCGACCACCCATCGTCCAGCATCGTACTAACGCTTCCTAGTCGTCAAGACCCTCACCGGCAAGACGATCACCCTCGAGGTTGAGTCCTCCGATACTATCGACAACGTCAAGTCCAAGATCCAGGACAAGGAGGGTATCCCCCCCGACCAGCAGCGCCTCATTTTCGCTGGCAAGCAGCTTGAGGATGGCCGCACCCTCTCCGACTACAACATTCAGAAGGAGTCGACCCTCCACTTGGTCCTCCGCCTCCGTGGAGGCATGCAGATTTTCGTCAAGACCCTGACCGGCAAGACGATTACCCTGGAGGTGGAGTCCTCAGACACAATTGACAACGTCAAGTCCAAGATCCAGGACAAGGAGGGCATTCCCCCCGACCAGCAGCGCCTCATTTTCGCCGGAAAGCAGCTCGAGGATGGCCGAACGCTGTCCGACTACAACATCCAGAAGGAATCCACCCTGCACTTGGTCCTTCGCCTCCGTGGAGGACAGTAAGCGGCGGTTCTTTCCTTCCCGGCGTTCATGGGTTATGGGTTACGGCATTGGCATGATGATATCTTAGTTAGGGCCTGGTAAATCAGGCACCATGCGCTCGAAAGCGCCAATACAGACCATTGAAGTCTACATTTGTCCTCTCTCGTGATGTCTGTATCTGTTGTCGTCCTCGTCGTCTTTGCTCCTGTTATCGTCCTTCATCGTCGCCCGCTGTCGTCGTCCGTCTCCGTCGTCCGCTGTCGTCGTCCGTCATCGTCCTGCCTCGGTGTCTTGCTTCATCGTCCAGCGTCGTCCCCTCTCATGATGTCTGTATCTGTTGTCATCTTCGCCCTTGTTATTGGCTCCGTCGCCCTTCGTCGTCCTGCTTCGTCGTCCTGCTTCGTCCTCCTACATCATCGTCGTCTGCCATCACTGTCGTCTATCACTGTCGCCTGTCACTATCGCCTGTCACTATCGTCTGCTGTCGTCGTCTGCCATCTCTATTTGCCATCATTGTAGTCTTTATCGCTGTAGCTTTCATACTTCTACGTCGTTTCTGTATCCATCGGGAAAAAGCAAGACAGCGCCTGCAGTGACAGTCTAGCACCGCTCTGGTTCGGCTACGAAACGCAGGCGCCTTATCAGTGACGTGACCAGTGGACCCGTGCCCGCGGTGGGGTTCCATTGTGGGGGAACACCTTCTACAGAGACCCTGCACCCAAATTATTCCTCCGAAATACACCTCCGTCCACTCGTTGTTATGAGCAGCTTAAGCAATCCTTACGAAGTGCTTCGGGGACACTCGCTTTTACCTCCATAGTACACATCGTTTCTATACCATCACTTGCTAGCGGATTTGCGCGCCGGCGACTACGACAGCACCCACAGACGAGCGTCAGCCCGCAGGGTTGCGAAAGGCTATGCGGTCCTTCTTTTACCACTTGAAGTTTGAGCTCTACCCGACTCCCAGCCCAACGGACGGCCAGTCTAAAGGCAAAACGCATACTTCTTCGACAGGCCAAGAAGTTTGGCTTCCGCCGAAAGGGATCGACATCTTCGACGAGCTTCCGACACATTCTAGGAAATCCGCAAAGAAATCCTACGTTCACAGACCGCAACCCTCGCCGTTGCAGTCATACGAAACACCCCTTCCCGCCGACACCTACCGATCGAACACACAAGTGCATAATACCTCCGGCAACGCTGGCCTGATTGACTGCGGCCCCTCGAGAGCACCTGTAAAGGAGGACAGTGGTGGAAACCTCGAACGGTTGACCGAAAGGCAGTGGAGAGCGCGCACCCAGAGCTTTCCACCTCCGCCATCGTCCGCCGCGATTCGGCCAGAAACGGCTGTTAGAGACTGGAGGTTTGGGCAGCTGAGCATACAGAGCATCGACTTGCACGACGAGCGTCAGCGAGAGCAAATGACGGCAGAAGCGGCTAGCTCGTCGGCCGCGCTCGGCGTGGGCCCGACGTTCGCGGGGACGTCAACGAAGGCGAAGTACGTGCCGCTAGAGACGAAGAATACGGAGGTTGGCTGGGGTGTGGTACACTTCTACCGTGAGGAGGAGGAGACACCAGAGTTAGGTCTTGACCCGTCCGAAGACGATGGAGTCAAAGAGGTAGATTGCACCACCATCTGCATACCGGCAGTGCCGAGCTACCTCACACCAGGTGATTTCCTAGGATACGTGGGTGAAAAATGGCGGAACGACATCAGCCATTACCGGATGGTCATGACCGCCAGGATGAACCGGTATCTGGTCCTTCTCAAGTTCCGCAACAGTGAGCGCGCACGGAAGTGGCAGAGGGAGTTTGACGGCAAGGTCTTCAACAGCATGGAGGTGAGTAGTCATCACGACAGAGGACGTGGCGGTGGTCGTACTAACATGTTCCAGGCCCAGGTTTGTCACGTCGTGTTCGTCAAGTCTATCACTTTTGAGACGCCGACAAGAGAAAATCGCACGTTCCCGGACCTCAACCACGATCCGTTTACACCATCCTCTTCCGTCGCCGCGTCGAGCAGCCTCAAACCCTTCCCTCCTCCCACACCAAACCTCGTCGAATTACCTACTTGCCCGGTGTGCTTAGAACGTATGGACGACACAACCGGCCTCATGACGATCCCCTGCCAGCACGTCTTCCACTGCAATTGTCTCCAGAACTGGAAGGGCTCAGGATGTCCCGTCTGCAGACACACAAACCCCGAAACCACATACGACCCGTCGAACCCGTATACCCAACCGTTTGGTTCCTCCGTGTCAAATCTCTGTAGTTCATGCGACTCACCAGACGACCTCTGGATCTGCCTCATTTGCGGAAACGTCGGCTGTGGTAGATACAAAGGTGGCCACGCAAAAGATCACTGGAAAGAGACGGCACACAGCTTCGCGCTTGAACTCGAGACGCAGCATGTCTGGGATTATGCGGGCGATACCTGGGTTCATCGCCTCATCCGCGACAAGGGCGACGGCAAGGTCGTTGAGCTGCCAGGTAGCAATGGACAGCACCACCGACCGGAAGGAGGCTACGAGGATGTAGTGCCGCGGGCAAAGTTGGATAACATCGGTCTAGAGTACACGCATCTTCTAACCAGTCAACTTGAGTCGCAGCGGGTGTACTTTGAGGAGATGCTCAGCAAGGTGGCGGACAAGGCGTCAAAGGCCGCCGCAACGGCAGAATCGGCCTCCGCACAGGCTTCAGCCGCGCTGGAAGAGAACGTGACTCTCAAGACGGAACTTGATCGTCTCAAGATACAAGTCATCCCACAGCTAGAACGGGACGCAGAGCGGGACAGAAACAAAGCCACCAAAGCGCAGGAACTCGCACGAAACCTCGGCAAGGCTCTACAAGAAGAAAAGGAGGTCACTCAGGGGCTGATGAAGCGTGTAGAGCACAACAACACCGAGCTCGAGGCGTTGAAGAAGAAGGACGGCGAGTACAAGGCGCAGATTGCGGATTTGGAGGAGATGAATCGGGACTTGACCATGTTTATTTCTGGGCAGGAGAAGCTCAAGGAACTGGAGAACGAGGGCAAGCTCGAGGCTGGTGAGGTCGCTGAAGGCAGCGTTAGCGTTGCGAAGAAGGGCAAGCGGAGAGCCAAGAAGTGAGGCTCCAACGTGCTGCCAAGGCGTTTATGGTGCATCTACGAGGCGTTTGCGGGGTAGGGATGATTGAAGCTCAGCAGTACTAGTTCAGCGATACCTTGGAATTTATCAGCGAGTATTTATTCCATCTACGGACGGTCTCTGGCCATGCTCCATACTCTGGCTGCAAGGCCACTGCAATCCGGCTGGTTGTTACGCTAGGTAGTGGTGTCTCGGTCACGCCTTTTGACACGAGGCTGGCAATGGTAAGAAGGCTTGTGTGTTTGCTTCAGGTCTTTGGGCGGCTTTCCGTTCCGCGGTCTTATGTTGAGGCACAATACTGGTCAAGTGGCCGGATGGGGTCGACTTTACGATTTAGAGCCCCCGCGGCATGAATATCCTTCAATCGTCACTTGGACGCATCTCGGCTGGAAATAACCCACCGCGCTTTGAATGAGGCGGTGATTCTGCCGTCAACCAGCTAAGGATGAAGGCCAGCGACACCAACATCCAAAGCTGGAAGACAAGATGCGGGAGTCTAAGACCCGGGAAGGCATAATATGTTGGGCAAGATTGATCGTACTTTCCTCAGTAGCAGGCGCTCAAGCGGTCGAGTCTTTGTGGTTATTTCCCATCGGACATGCGTCCTTTCTAGTTGTCAAGATCTCATCTTCCCAGTTCTCGTTTGTTCCATCTTCCCCATCCTAAACCTGGAGACTTCTCTTTCTCGTCCCCCCCGTGCCTACGGCAGAAATCCCCTCATCGGATCAAGTGTTATCAAACTAAACAGGTGTAACGGAGGTGATATCAAATGACGGCCTGATGCTGGCTCCAGCTCGCAAGAATGAGTTAGTTATATAGTAGCAGCTTTCTTAATACTGCGCGCTCTTCTGCTGGTTATTTTCGTTTGCGTGGTCTGTGGGTTCGTTTTGTTTGCTACTATTGTCTTGTGCAACGCCAGTTCGGAGGACAATTTTCTTCCGTCTTTTCGAATGGCGGAAATTTGGAGTGCGTGTTTTGAATAACACAACTATGGTTTTTAACCTTTCACCTGGCTTTCTCTACGTGGCGCTGCATACCCAAGGTAGGTACGGTTCGTTCGCACCTTCTCTTTGATTCTTCCTGCCTGAAATTTTGGCAGATACCTTTCATCGGACTGCCTTCTAGACCTTCTTTTCACCTTCCTTTTCCCCCCTCTTCTCTGTTGCCCATCTCCTCCTCCCCCCTCCTCCCCCCCAAATCCACGTCGCGAATCGTTTCCATCATTTTCCTTCACAAACTTTCCTCATCGCGCCATCCCCAAATCATACCGACCGACATTCTCATTCAAGTCGGCGACAACTCATCATCACCATGGTGACCGCCAAGAAGCGCGACGCGCTCGCGAAGTACACCGCAGGTCAGACCATGATACTTCGGCCTTTCCCGAATCCCGCCCCCCCTCATTCCATGGGCATCTTTCCCAAACCTGTTGAAACGGCATCTGACGGCCGCTCCTTCGAGGACTACACCGCGCAGCAGCCCAGCAATTTCGATCCGGATATCCAATACGAGGATGACGAACTACTAAAACTTAACATCGTGGAAACGATCTCTGGCGGTGAAAGTCACAACCGACAAATACTGCTTTGCAAAACCGACAAGACCCCTCGCACAAACTTTGGACATTCGCCTATTCCCGTCTTTGGCGACAAGAAGCAATGTATCATGGCCATAGTCATCGATGCAGTTTGCTTCGAAGATTCGGCCTGGGCCGACTCTCACTTCTGCCGCCGGGCTGCTGTGCTCCAACACCTTTACAGGTCTAGAACCGAATCCGATACTATCAATCCGACATACTATGGCACATGGGTCTTGGAGGCATACGACAGTGCAGAGAATTTTCCCGGAAGCAAGCGATATGTCGGTGTTATACTTAGGGAGCATCTCGAAGGCGAGACCATTGGCGGATTGTGCACACGCGAGCAGACAGATGAAGACGACGAACTCGGCAGGCTCATTGCACCTTCGAACCAGGTCTTGCGTGTTGGCACTGACGGCAAAGTATTCGTGCTTGATGCCAATCACCAAGTCCGCCATGAGATCACGATGCAGCTTATGCACGGCATCGTCACCAATGAGCATCGCGGCGTGCGACACACAATGATATGTGCCAAAGATGTCATGGTGGTTTTCCGACGACATGGAGAGCTCCTACAGAGACCGCAGGCTGTGCTACTAGGTACTCTGCTCACCCACGTGTGGTCCACGCTTGAAGAACGCTACCAAAACAAGCATGATCGTCGGCGACGAGGCAAAATGCCTCTCCATCCATTCGATCGATTTACGCATAACGATCTCGAAAATCTCGATGGCTGGTACGATGTTGACTGGTGCGACGACAACAGATTCAAGCTTGATGCATGGATGTTGAGGCAGTTCGGGCTCATGGACGAAGCAGAGGACCAACGTCGCTATCTTACTTGGGAAGACTTGAGGCAGAAGGAGAGCGACGTTACTGGGGCTAGGAATGAGCGCTTGAAAACGGCTTTTGCGTTCATCGCAACAGGAGGAAGTCGCAGCTTCCCTGACTGCAGCCTCTCAGTTATTCCATACCAGCCTCCCCCGCAGGCTGGCAACAAGATCACCCCGATGTTCGGAAACTTCAGGCATGAGAACATGGCCAGGTATTTGAAGGCCCGGCCTGATCGTCGACATCCTCACTGGCGAATGTTCGAACTAGCCGCGACAGATGGCCCCCGAGAATTGAAGGAGCCGGATATCGAACTCAGAGCGGCGCTTGCTTGGTTGGTGGCTGCTGTTCAGCTTTTATCAACGAGAATCGATCTCAACGAGAAGCGCTCCGGAGGGGATGACGTGACGCTCCAGAGAGAGTTCTTGGAACAGATTAGGTGCAAGTTGCTCAAAAGAAAGAGAGACGAGTCAGACAAGTCAGATATCTGAGCAGTCAAGGATGGAAGCGAGAAGATATTCAATTAATCAGATCGGGTGTATGTTTACAGGTGGTGTGGTCGCTTTGGAATTAGGTATGCGGGAGTGTAGAGTACTGCGGTATGCTTTTGACTCGCATAAAACGTCCGTGCACTGTGATCCAGCACCTGGGTTCTCTCTTTGAAAAAAGAAAAAAACCATATGAAACATGGAAGACAGATTGGGGGGGATAGTACAGTTGTATTAGATTTTTCTGCGTAAATTAGTAGTTTTTCCATACTTCACACTGGAGAGAAGTGCCTCTTTTGTGGTTTCAGAGAAATGCTCCCTCTCTTTTGTGATTGGTACTTTTTTCCACATGGGCGCCTAGGCTGTACTGCGGTACCAGGCCAAAGTAAATGCACCCTGTCAGGTATCTGTGGCTCAAGCCGACCAGCCGCGGTACATCGATCGCAGGCGAAAGAGCGGCCATTCAGCAGTTATTCCAGAGCTTCCTGTGGGCCGTAAGTCCCCACGCTACCAGCCCGGGTGGTTTTACTTACCCATCATACCATAGTAGAGGCCGGACGGGACTTGATTGAGTAAGGCGGACTAATATTGTTCCTGATCTGCACCCGCACAGCGGTCGGGTGGACCCACCCTGGCGGGACAAACGTATCCATGGATCCTTACGATTTGTTACGCGCACCCCCTCTGGCCTGCCTGATCTACTTACACCTGAGATATCTCTTCAAGACAGCAGTGTTTGTCGTTCGACATTTGTTTTTATCCCCCTTCCCACTGAGCCGTATTTAACGCAGCAGCATCGCTGGAGGAAGTATGGCTCTACTTACCTCTCGATTCGTTATCGATTTTCTTTAATTTGCTGACCACATGCAAGAATCACAATGTCTTCGGTCGCGCCGGTTACTTTCCGCGACCTTCTCCTAGGTGATGACGATGACGACCACCTAGGATACTATCCGCGTCTTCAGACAACAGTCAAAATGACCAACGCGAAGAAACCACACTGAAGAGCCACTACTTGAATGCGGCGTCGGAGATCATCAGCCGAAAATTACCTCACTTGAGCGAGCGCATTCAGGAGATCAAGTTGAGATTCAACGAGCAACAGACTGTCAATGTCGTTGTAGAAGAAAAGAACCAGGCTTTCAAGCCCGATGGGCAGCTGGACATGGAGGGGTTCAAGCCAGATGGTTCCAAGCAAGCCGTGGTCATTTTCGAGGCTAAGGCCGAAAAGATCGTTGCTCGCGCTATCGCGAACATCCGCGAAATGTTGACTGAAGATCCCGAAGAAGACTGGGACGAACGGTCAACGCTTCTCTTGCAACAGATTGGAACTTACTGCATCGTCCTCAACTCCCGGTACGGAATTTTGTACGACGACGATTGTTTGATCTTCGTCCGGTTTGACGACTTGATCTACACCGACGGAAAGCCCAACTTCAAGACCGGTCTTGGAGGAACCTGCAGCATCGAGGTTGTAGAGGAGAGGAGCCGTTAGATTCGCTACCTCTGCCGCTTCATCCTGGAAGCTCTCAAGGAGCAATCGCTCCTGTAAGGTTGTCACAAAGGTCAGTTGCGTTTTCAGGAGGGAGGCATCTCCCTCTCATGTGTACGATATTCTGACTTTTTTTTCCTTTTGTGGTTCAAACAGTTCCCTACTTCACGAGCATTCGCACCTCTCAGACGACGGGGATTGTGTGATTGTTTTCAAGTGGTCTCATGTCTCGATCATGAGAATTGCCGAGGAGCCGCCGAAGAAGTTGGTGGATTTGCTTGACAACGGTTAGACGCAAGCCAAAGAGGATTGCATCCTATCGAGGGAGACTGCAGTGGTATATGTTGTATGCGATATATGCGCATAGGATCGCTTAGTTGGGTCTTGCGAGATCGAGATCTTTTGCAAGCGCTCAGGGTTGGAGGGACAGGCTCATCGCGGATATCTCAGCCTCTTTTTGTGCTCAAGAGATTGGCAATTCCCAGGACAGGCCCTTTTGAACAAAGTAGAATCGATTACTGGGATATGAATTGCTCTCGTTGCTTAAGCCGTTGGTAAAGGGGTGGGTTCAGACGACCGTACATAATTTAACGCTTCGCAAACTCCGCTGAGATTTGGTCTTTTCCCCAGTGAGATCTCGTATAATGAGAAGAATGGACTGTTTCGACCCTTCCTTTCCTTTTTTACCTTATGTTTGGCAATCATCCCTGTTTCCCGAGTGCGAAAACTTGCAGACGCTGCCTATAATGCAATCTGCATTACAAGTGCTACATCACTTCGAGCATGGTATTGGGGCTCATGAAACTGTCAAATACGTTGCATGGCGCCTGATTCGTCGAGCGTTGAAAATGGATGGCAAGAGAACGACTGAGTTCCTCGTCAACTTGTCAGGTCTGAGAGTCAATCCCAGCGACTCTGAATTTACTCGGCTCCTGGATTCGGCACAGTTTTGCCTCGGACAGTTTTGCCTCGGGCGAGTAGCTTTGTAAACTGACCCCTGAAGATTCCTCTGAGGCCATGGGCCGGTTTCAAACGGTGGCTTTGAAGACCTGCAATACCAAATTGCGGTACCGCGCCTGCGATCCAGTCGAAGGCTTCTTCCTTGTGTTCGATGGCTCAATGCACACTCTCATGAAAGCTAAGCCAACAACAGCGCCTGAACCCAGCCGAGATCTCTTCTATGACCTCATCGATGAGAAATGCTTCAAGTAATGGTTCGAGGTTCTTGAGATCCTGGTCACAGTAAATTTTAATGTACGTGCTGAGATGCCGACGGTGACAGCATTACCTCACAGGAGCAGAAGACGGCCTCGCCAGTATCTTTCAGTATCTCAATCAGTACGAAGCCCAAGTTTCTGAATTTGGGTCTGCAGAGGTTTCTGGCCAACGGACTGCTGTTGATAGCGGATACTTTCACTTTGTCTTGCGGCTGCTAACTGAGATGAGTAGTTAGGTAGAGTACTGTGATCGTAACGGCAAACCGGAAGCCCGTCGCTCAATATCCCAGAAATCCAAGCATTTATCATTCTTCTCTCAGCCCCTTCCATCGAGTTCTCAGGTATGGCGGCGGACGCAACAGATTGGATAGCTCTTTCTTGTCTAGCCTCAATTCGAGATTGTTACGAATCGGAGGTATTATTGGCAGGGGGGGGGAGAAGAAGGGATCCGGACGATGTGAGATGAATCCCATCGAAAAGCTGCTGAAATAGGATTTTGCTACAGATGCGAACCAAGCAGATGATTTGGCCAGGGAGGCACTCTCATACGCTACAATAAGTCCTCAATATGAATGGAAGCCCCCTAATTTTCCTGGGGTGTGAATCTCACAACGAGATGCGAATGGCATGGCATACATTCTCCTGAACCCAATGTCCTTGGACCAACACAGAAGGTGATCTCCGCTCCCATTGACTTCTTCAGCATTGCCCGGAAACTCGTCAGGAGAAACAAGTGGCTTGTCGAATATATTGAAAGCCTTCTATTGATTCTCTGGTGGCTCCTCGAAAAGGCTCGTTTGGATTGTCAGGGCGGAAACCGACAAACATTGCGAGTTGTTGTTGGATAAATGGAAATAAAAGTCTCACACTTTTCCAAACGGTCTATTGATGAGACAAATTTGAGCATCCCAGGTCAATGGTGGGTAGTGCGTCAATAGCGAGGAGAGGCGCAAATGTGCATCGACCAGGCCGATGGCAGGAACACCAAGGAGGTACTCTCTCAATGTTTGGAAGCAAAATGGAGGAACTTTCTCAAAGACGGGAAAGTCTTGTTCGCGAAGCAGTAGAGCAAATATGCCGTGATGTGTTTTTGGCAATAGGTATTTAAGATGCTTTGGGTACGTTGTGGCACTGCATGGAGTGGAGGGAGGCACCCGGGCTCTCAATGGATTCTGATTAGCAATTGAATTACTTTGTATTTCTGTTAGGAACAAATGGCGAGTGGTAGACGCTTACTCCGTTGGGGAAAGTAAGGACGTAAGGCTGCTTAAAAGCTCTTGGAGGCGGCGGGCTAGACCACCTGATTTTCCTGCGTTTATGCCGCTGTATCTTTCACATACCTAACACTTGTTGCTTTAAAAGCTTTCATTTATTTAAGTATGTTTTTCTGAGAAGTAGAAATGTTGATAACGATAATAGCGAATGATAGGATAGAAGTATTCGTTATAGTAGATGAAAACCATGTCGTCTTTAGAAGGCTAGCTCCCTTACCGACCTTGCACTGGCATTCTGTCTTTGGGACTCGGTCCCTCGTCCGCAGGGGTATGACGATGACAAGATGAGAATCAAACAAGCTTCTGCGGATGGCTGCGAGATATCATGAGAAGCTGGCTGTTCTCTCGAGCGTCCTTTGACTAATCCTTTCCAGTTGCAGCTGAAGATAGACATCAGTTGCAAGAGGGGACTGAAAAAAGTAGAGAAATGGGTCAGAACTTTTATTCTATTTACACAGCATCGCCAGCGAAAGTCGACGCCGGCTCTATTCATGATTATTCCGCGTGCTAAGCTCTTTCGTCTTCTTAGTAGAAAAGAGCAACTTCTTGTCCGGAAGTGCAATGCTAACATTGAAACTGCTAAATCATACCGACCACACGCCCTTCAATACCCCATCTCTTCGCAACAATGAACCGAAAACGTTATTTTGGGGGATTCCAAAACTCCAGGGCCAAAAGAGCAGATGTAAACGCTGGGCCGCTAGCAGACTTAAAAGTCAAACTTGACGCCCTTCTTGCTGGTGATGTCAATCATGCCGCCGCGGTAGCTGCCGCGCTTCTTCTTGTTCTTCTCCTTGGTGAAGCCCTTGCCCTTGGTGACGATGAGGTCCTCGTGGGCGCGGTTGGAGTAGTCGTTGGGAACGTACTCGTTGCTGGCGAAGCGGGGGTCGATGTGGACCACGTCGGGGATACGAGAGAAGGGCTTGTTGGGGACCTTCTTGCCGTTGGCGTTCTTGCCGCGGTTGTTCTGCGCGCGGAAGACGACGGGGTCGGGAGGCAGAGGAGGGTCGGCGGCGCTGT